GAGGGGGGGGGTGGCCTGCCTGCAGCCACCTGTGGGCTTGGGAAAGCAGGCGGCGTCTCCTAAGTGGGCCAAGACCCAGGCAGGAGGGTGTCACTGGTCCCTGCTGGCTGTGTGGAGGCCTGGGGCGTCTGCGCCGCATGAGCCCCGAACACACACGGTTCCGTGTGACAACAGTTCAGGTTGCTTGGTTATGTGCACCCAGACCTGCAGATGGGAGGAGGGGAAAGGGGCCCTTTAAATCGCCGTGGGAGCGACAGGTGGCATACTCCAGAGCAGTTCCAAGGCAGGGGTGGTGGTGGTGCATGGTACGCTCCAGCCTGCACTGAAGGCTGGCTGCCCCTGGCCCCACCCCTTCCACTTCAGGTCCCACCCCGTTGGAGAGCTCAGAGCTGCTCCTCCTACCCTGCCCAGGGGCCCAGCATGGCTGGGAGTAGAGCCCTGCATAGCTGTGGGTAGCTGCATCCACATCCGCAGCTATCAAGTTGCAAGGCTGTAGCTGTTAGCTCCCCTGAGTGCGCCTCAAAAGTCTGGAAATTAGAAATGGAAGGCGCTGGCTCCAGAAGGCATTGCCACCTTCCCATTGGCTGCCACATGTCAGTACTACCCTGCACTCCGCAAGGCAGCCTGGCCCAGCTATGGCAATTAGCCCCTAAATGCCTTTGAGGCTCTGGCCTTACTGCCCGGCTAAATAACTCCAAATGCCGCACTTGCTTTTTTCTGATTTGTCTTTTTAAGGACGCTAGGAAATGCCACAGAGCACAACGTCAGAAGGACGTTCAAGCTGCACGTTTAGGCTCTGGGAAAGCGGGAAATAGTGTCCCTGCCCTGATGTCACGCTTCCCCCTCTGCACAAGACAGTTGTTTTTAAGCCACACAGTTACATGCTCCGGTTGGCAGAGCTGCATGCCACCTAGCACGTCTCCAGGTGGCGGATAGGAGGCGGCCCCTTTTCAGAGGTTTGCTGTGAAATAAGTGGCTTTGTTGAGTGAATATGCAGCCACAGACCAGCAGCGGCAACATTACCAGGGTGTGATGGGACATTGGGTGGTATCCGATACTCTGATTAAAGTCACAAGTGCCCGATGATGATGTTGTGACCTGGCAAGTGCAGCCCGCCATCAGATAAGGCTGCCCTACCCCTCACTCTGCTGGTTGAGGCTCTGGGATACTTGGGTCCCAGATTACTTTGGATAAACTGAATGGCTTATGAACCATGATTGGTCACTGCCATCCAAGGGAATGTGGCTCCTTACATTACTCCAGGGAAGAGAACCCTGGCAGAAAATTCCCCACTGCCTTGTGGGTAGGTTCGGGAGATCCAAAGGCTCTGGGAGTAAACCCAGACAGATAATCCGGATTGGAGACCCAAAGGTGGTTAACAGTGAGGTTTCATCCTATCTGCTTTTCCGGCATCTCCTGCAGCCACCTCCTAACATACTGGCTTTTGTCTTTCCTTTGGATCTAACTGGGGCGACCGAGCAGGGGATAGTGCCATTTGGGCAACGCACTTTCCTCAAACACTAGCCCAGGCAATGCAGTGCGCAGGAGGAGACACTTACCCACACACAGTTGTACACAGCTACTACAGTTGATACAATAAACCAACTTGCCTCTGGCTTGGTAGCTGGAATGTGCGGACAATGTGTCCTGGACTTGAACCTGATCATGATCTTACAAACACGGATTCAATACGTAAAGCAGCAGTCATAGACCAACAGTTACATAAATTGAATGTTGACATTGCTGCTGTTCAGGAGACCAGACTGGGAGATGCTGGATTAGTAAAAGAAACAAACTGCACCTTCTTCTGGAAGGGTTTGAGTTCAGAGAAACGCCGTCTTTACGGAGTTGGCTTTGCTGTTCGAAACATTCTGATGAATTTTATCAATGCACCCATAGCTGAATCAGAATGTGTTATATCCCTAAAGCTCAGCACCAAGTCAGGATATGTTAACATCATAAGTACTGATGCACCCACACTAACGTTGTGCACTGAAGACAAGGGCCACTTCTATGGTAATCTTCAGAAAGTTGTTGATTCCTGTTCATCCGGTGAACAACTGAACATCCTTGGTGATTTTAATGCAAGAGTGGGACGCTATCACCAGTCCTGGCCCATTTGCCTAGGTCATCACGGCATTGGGAAAATGAATGAAAATGGTCAAAGGCTTCTTGAATTCAGTTCTCAGAAGGCTTCATTGCTTCAGTCTTCACGGCTGAGGACATTGGGGAGATTCCGGAATCTGCACCGTCCTTTGTGGGTGATGAATCTGAGGAACTGTCCCGGATTGAAGTGTCATTAGAGGAGGTTTTGGAACAAATAGAAAAACTTAATGTTAACAAATCTCCGGGACCGGATGGCATTCATCCAAGGGTTCTAAAAGAACTCAAATGGGAAATTGCTGAGCTATTATCTATGGTTTGTAACCTATCCTTTAAATCGGCTTCCGTACCTAATGACTGGAAGGTAGCCAATGTGACACCAATATTTAAAAAGGGCTATAGAGGCGATCCTGGCAATTACAGACCGGAAAGTCTAACTTCTGCACTTCTGTACTAACTTCTAACTTAGTCAAAACAATAGTAAAGAATAAAATTGTGAAGCATGTAGAAGAACATAATTTGTTGGACAAAAGTCAACATGGTTTCTGTAAAAGGAAATCATGTCTTACTAATCTATTAGAGTTCCTTGAAGGGGTTAACAAACAAGGTCCCTCACCAAAGGCTCTTGTGTAAATTACATGGCCATGGGATAAGAGGGAAGGTCCTTTCTTGGATTGAGAACTGGTTAAAAGACAGGAAACAAAGGGTAGGAATAAATGGTAAATTTTCAGATTGGAGAGGGGTAACTAGTGGTGTACCCCAAGGGTCAGTCCTGGGACCAATCCTTTTCAACTTATTCATAAATGATCTGGAGAAAGGGGTAAGCAGTGAGGTAGTAAAGTTTGCAGATGATACCAAACTGTTTAGGATAGTCAAGACAGAAGCAGACTGTGAGGGACTCCAAGAAGATCTCACCAAACTGAGTGATTGGGCAACAAAATGGCAAATGAAATTTAATGTGGATAAGTGTAAAGTAATGCACATCGGGAAAAATAACCCCAACTATACGTACAGTATGATGGGGGCTAATTTGGCTACGACAAATCAGGAAAGAGATCTTGGAGTTATCGTGGACAGTTCTCTGAAAACTTCCACACGGTGTGCAGCGGCGGTCAAAAAGGCAAATAGGATGCTAGGAATTATTAGGAAAGGGATAGAAAATAAGACCCAGAATATCTTACTGCCCCTGTATAAAACTATGGTACGCCCACATCTTGAATACTGTGTACAGATGTGGTCTCCTCACCTCAAAAAAGATATTTTGGCCTTGGAAAGGGTTCAGAAAAGGGCAACTAAAATGATTAGGGGTTTGGAACGGGTCCCATAT